AAATCCGTCTGAAATTTTCGTGTCAAAAAAAAATTTACTCGAGGTGTGGTAAGGGAGCGTATGTTATCAAATGAGAATATTTTATCAGTACTTTCTTATTAAGTTTGTGTCTGTGTGCAATCCAGCGACCATCCCCGCGCCGATTTTCTCTACTGGCGTGGCAATTTCGGTTTTTATCCGAGGAACGAACGCCAAAAGTCAAAACACTATCCCCGCAAAGAACACACGTGAACTACCAAGACGAGCAATTAAAATTCTGTCGGTTTAGAATACCTTCGAATGGCCGATCACGACGGTAGTGTTACCAATGGATTCCTCCAGCAGGGTCTATATAAGTACTTGTCTACACGCATTTTAATATACGTTAATCACAAAACACTTTACACCCCTCTCTTGTTCGCTACGATCTGATGCGCATAGTAACCAATTAATATTGTTAAAGTTAATTCTACATTTATTCTATGAATTCTACAGGCTGACAGCGCTGGATTCCTCTCACCCTCTACTACCCATATATGTAGGACATTTGCCGCGGAACCCCCCAAGCCCAGACCTTCTTGGCCTCCATAGCAGGAGAGGGCATGGAAGGTACCAGGGAATTAGCGGAATGAAATATGAATAATATACACAAAATGAGTCACTATAATAATAACATACAGCGAATAATTCACTATATTGTCTAGTGCAGGGGGCTGTACCCCCTGTGACTCTTCTGGGGGGTTATGTCCTCTGGGGAGTTATGCCCCCAGAAGAAGAATCCTCCACGTATTCAGTCAGGAGAGTGTGTACGACCGACATGCGGGAGCGCCCGACGTCAAGTCTTTCCTGCGCTTTATCCTGCCGTACATACGGGGTGGATTCTCTGTTGTAGAGTGCGTGGGTTGTGAGGTAGCAGCTTCCCAGGGGGCGGTGTTTACGGGGGGCATAGCCCCCTGTATTTTATTATAGCCCCCTGTATTTACCAATTATCTGTGTATTATTTTCTACCCTACCCCGTAATTTCTCTGGTACCATTCATGTCTTCCCCTGCTATCGGGGCCAAAACTGGGTATGTGGGTGGGGGCATAAATTCTACATCCATGGCGATAGATACCACTATCGCCGTGATCGGTCATTTGGAGGGATTCTGAACGTTTACCTATGTTATCTGATTTTGAATTATCTATATTATTATATTATCGCGGCAAAATCTTTTGACATTAAAAAATCCGGCAAATTTTGCCTTAATCTCTGGCTAATCCCAAGGCTGCTACATTCCTACAGTAAAAAGTGCGTCGTGACATCCCTGTCGAAAGCACTAAATCGTGTATGGTAACTCACCTATTCCTGGGACTAAATGTATCTCCACGGTCCCGAAATTTAGTATACAATGCCATCAGCTTATCATAGGCGATCAGTAAGAAGTGTACCGCTGTCTCTCCGTGGCAGCCTGAATGACCGGGTCCTTTATTTCGAACCTCTTTTAACACTGCTTCGGACGCATGAATAAGTTGTGTATGTCATCCCTACAACAGACCATTAAGTTTTGTCACAGTCATATATTGTTAGAAAAAGCTTTTTGTTTACTCGGATAAACGTGTAGGCATGTGCATGTATATACATCGATAGGAAATTAAGATTTTTTTTTTTTTTTATTGAAATTATAAATCTTTAAAATTTGCGGGTAATTCGAAGCCGATCATATTCAACTATATCACGCATATTGAAACTACAGTGAAATTAAATTGGGAAACGAAAATTGTTCTTTTTTATACAAATAAGGCACTACTTTATGATTTGCTGTAACGGATTTAGCTTTTGAAGATTCAGAATAGGTTCTTTTATCTTTCGTATTTATCTTTTTAAGATTCAGAATAGGTTGGATTTGCTTCACTTATCACACGCTGTCTATTCCTTCCTCCTATCTTTCACTTTTTATTTCGTAGGAATTCCATATCTCCAATTTCTCAAATTGCGTCGTTCTTCATACTTGTTTCGATTTTATTTTTACTTTCCTCTAGTTTCAACATAAATTCTTACGAACATCTGTAATTCTACTACTGATTTAACATTTTCCTTCCAGTTGAGGTGACAGTGCGAGGACCTGTTGACGCCGTGACAGGGATGGTGATGAATGTGACAGACCTCAAGCGAATCATCAATAGCGTAGTCATGGATGTCATGGACCACAAGCATCTTGATTTGGACGTCCCTGTCTTCAGGTCAGTGGGTAATTCGGTTTCTGTATTTTCTTGGTTTTGCTCAGCTTAATTTGAGCTTAATGACAAGTAGGTTATGTAGATATATTAAATGAAACACAAACTCATAATGTTTAGAGTGAAACTACACTCTTTATCAGATAAGGTCATGGTCTAATGTATCCTTAATTACCTGTGGCCATGTGTCAGTTGATCTTTGTACATACATTTTGTATATTCATTTGTGTTCACATAGTTACATGACGTGTACATGTTAGTAAAATGTCTGGAACAATAGTTTATTGAGTTGCTTAAGACAAGTGGTTCAATTAACCGAGGCAAGAACAGCGTATTTTGTAATAAATCAACTGGAATGTTAAGAATGGCAGGTATCTTAAATCAAGCATAGATCTATGTGTTATTTCATGTTAGAAATATGACTTATTTGTTCACATCTAATGGATCCATTATTGATTGCATTATAAGATGCACAGTTCAGTGTAAATGGCAATGCCAAGCATCTCATATAACAATACTTATGCATGATTTAAAAGCTGATCATCTATCCTCTAATTGCCTTCTCCATCTAAGGTTAAATTTTATCATACCAACATAATTGTATCAGTAATAGTTAAGTATCACATCCAAATTCTTTTCTTCAGGGACTCAAATCTAGTCAGCACCACAGAAAATGTTGCAGTTGTCATATTCGAGGCCATCCAGGGTCAACTGCCCAGCCAGGTTGCCTTGTATGAAATTAAGGTGCATGAGACTGACAAGAATATTGTTGTCTACAGGGGAGAACATGAATGAATAATTTATAATAAAAGTTTGATCAGTAAGTGCCATACAAGAGTTTAAATGAGATTAGTTTTGATATCAAGTATATGAATGAAATAGCTTAGGTAGAGACTATACGTCTTCCAAGAATACTGCTTGCCCTGTCAAGTTCATATTATTTTGAAGATGATTTTTGTATTATGATATTACTTTGTTATCAAACTTTAAAATAATAAATTGTTTTAAAACTATGTATTGTTTTAGTAGATTGTACAGTTTACAGATTACATATTAACATCAGGTTTATGATGTTCTTGAATTATCTAAAAAATGACAGTTAATCTGATACTCACGATAAAGGGCCGCTGCTGAATTTTCACTGATATTTATATATTCAGCAGCAGATGATTAACTGTACATTGTAAATCAAGAATATCTTAACTTTGCATTCGTTGTTGCAAAGCTGAGAGACAGAGGCACACTAGTAAACATTTTGTCTCAGTGAACATTATGCTTATATGCATGAACACACATGTAGATTAATCATAGCAGTCATCAAGTCAAGCTTACATTTAGCTACAGAGTTGGGTTGGTACTTCAGTGGTTTGATTTTATATTTGAAAAAAAATCAAAATTATGTACACAAAGAATTAAAAAATACTATGGGAACAATATAAATAATAGTGGATCAGTACTATTATAAAGAATACATTATAAATTCCTTTATACATAAAAAAAACAAAGTATTATTTTTACAAAAGCACAATTAATTGTTATAAAAATCCCCTGATAATTCCCTGTGCCAAATAAAAGAAGTCCTGATTTTATTTACCTTTCATTTGCATATAAACATAAAAGTCTTTTAATTATTTATAATACTACTTTTCATAATATTACCATTGAAAGACTGAAGAGATCAATATTAGAAAGTAACTGACAATTAAGATAAATATGAGCCCAATGCCACCAGGAAAATGCTGTACTCATCTTTAATTTTTTTGAGAAATGTCTCTGCACATAGATGGCTTTGGTAGTGCTTAGCCACAAAAGAGTCAATTAGTAGAGCTTGAGACCTTACCTAATTTCACCTTTCCCTGAATTAACAGGAAAAATTATAGACATTATAATTACTATAATGTTATAAACATTAGTAACAGCAAAACAAGATAACGTAAAATATTTTTGTAAATCAAGGAAATGGGTAAACAGGCGAGACAGGCAGTACTCGTAACTGGCTCACTGATGACTTTGTACAAGTATAGCCATCTACCATACAAGAGTTTATATGTATGTGTAAAATCAATTCATAAAATAAACTCACATTGGGCATGGCATATACATACATGCCATGCCCATTGGCTTTGGGTTAAATAGTAAATAATAGGTAACTAATATCCTTCCACATTTATGCAAATGAAATTAAACAATTGCAAATTCCTCTTCTTTTCATTATTCAGTTATATATTGCATGAGCAACTAAGGACTTTAATTTCGTACTTTATTTGTAAAATGTGTTTATCTATATTACTTCCACTGCCTTAATAGCAATGAGAAAAGATAAAATAAAACAAAACACACCTTTAGTGTCTCATGAGATTATTTAACTTTATAATTTTGGGGGGTCTTGTTTATAACATGAATACCATAAGGAAGATAATAATAACCCATTAAAATGTGATAGAAGAGTTAATCAACACTTGGAGGTAAAAAATACAGTATGAAATGTATTTTATTGGTTTCTTGCTCAATCCATTTGTAACCATAGTTGTATTTCAGCAGTTATTTCCTTATCTGTGTCTTCTAATGGAAATCTAAGGCCAGTTAACCCCTAGTAGTTAATTTGCTTTGTCACCTTCAAATCATTTATATTATTGGTTGCATCTGTATTCCTGTTCTTTCCCTCAGTCCACTTAAATGCAGGTATAATTACCCTGTGCTTATAAAATCATTATCTTTAACATCCATTAGTTATTTATCTTACATCCCCAGTACTTAAAAAAGGAAAATTTGCATTTTACAGCAAGAGGATATTAAAACCAACTGTCAGAAGTTGAAATCGTGTATTGGATAAAGCTTGACACGTTTGTTAAAGCAAAAGAAGAAACTAGTATAATATCAAGATACCTCTTAGGTAGGGGTGTCCAGAAGTGTGGCAAACAAATTACTCCTGTACACAGGACATGAAGGAGATGATAATAATGGTGATGAAATGAGACTAATATGTACCTTGGGAAATGATTGGAGTGAGGTGGGATCCTTATGAGAGGTGAGGAAAAGGGTAGACAGAAGGATAATGTGGGAAATGGGATTTGAAGATGTTCACCACTCACAGTCTGCAGTAATATTTGGTCCAAAAACAGTTAAACTGATAAAAATATGTCCCCTTAAAACTAACCATTCATTCTAGGAATAGCGATAATTCTTTATCTATATTTATCTGTGTTAGGGTAAATAACCAACGGATGTTTTTACATCCACCTCTTTCTGAAGATGTTACATCCAAGGAAACTGCAGACTGGCAAGAGGCTGAAACTTTGTGAGAGGCAACAATGTTCCATATGGGTGTGTCTCCTTATATACCTTACAGACAAAATATACATCTTACTTGCAGACCCAAATGGGTAACGGAGAATGCACACCCATATTAATATTTGAACATGAGAGAAACAAACCACTTGGTGGTTAATTAACAAAAGGTCCATCACTGACCTAAAACTGGGACGTTATCTTCTTTTTAAAAAATCTAAGACTTCCATATTATAATATTTCTTCTGTACATACAATATAAACCACACTTCTCTATCTCTAATCTAAGCTCGAACAACCTGAACCTGTACAGCAACTCAACGAGTGTCTTTGGCTTGCAGAAAACAAGTGTTGCCATAGGGTGCACAAATCTTGAATAATTCTAACTCTAACACTGTCTACCAGATCCACTAAGTAGAAATACAGTGGGCGAGTTGCACATCAAGACAGCCTCTCCTGTACACTCACCCACAGACTGATAACTCAGTACAACAAGGTTCTAATATGCATATTAGTGGGAATAACGTCATATATGCCCTCCCTACAACAGTACTTAACATATGATTGGAGTAATTGCTACAAGGTAATGTGCAAAAAGAAAAAAATACTTATTTCATATACACATAAGGATTCAATCTCTATAAAATATACATATAAAACAAATCCAATCAACTCTGTAATGGATAATTGTGCACACTGGCAACACTAGTAGCAATCTGCAGTGGATACAAATAAACAGGTTAAGAAACAAGCTATATCCCTTCTCTGTAAACAGGAAAAAACGCATACCATATATTTTTTACTAACTTTAAAACGGTAAATCATGGTGCACACTTTGCCCCTCATCACCTGACCTTGTGACGAGAAGTAATCAGTCTTTGGCATGTGGGCTGGTAAAGTAAAGGTAGTACACACCAGTACATTGGTAGAAGTCACTATAATGCACACACTCAGCAGGTCTACCATGTTCCTACACATACCGGTGTGGTTTAGACATGACTTCCATCAATACACTGAGTTTCTAAAAAGATACATGGCTATCTTCCCAAGCAACCCATACCATAGTAAACACTTCAGTAACCTCAAGTACTAAAATATACATTTACTTTGACTTTTGACAACTCACTGGTACCTTTCCTTGTCATTAAATGAAAAAAAATGTTTACACAACTTGAAATAGATACTTTGTACTTACCAGTTATTAATGTTATATAATTAATTTGGCAAACAACTTGGCCATATCTGAGATGTATTACAGATTCAATCATAATCTGAAAAAAATTAAATCTTAAAAGATGAAACCTAAGTAAAACCCACAACTGAAAGAGTGACAAACAGTAGCAGATGCAGGCAATGAGGAAGATGTGTCATAACAAGCAATTCTGGGAACAAGTTGAGGTTTATCTAAAGCTCAATTATCCTTGCCAAGACACAATAATAAACCAGACATCCCTAACATTTCTTAACTCTTTTCCAATTTGCCTTTCCTAGCACCAGTTTCTTGAGATCAGGAAGCTGTGGGGGTGGGTACATATTCAAAGGGTCTAGGATATTTTACTTGTTTCAAGCTTGTATGTGATTCACTTTGACACTGAATTAGTATCTACATATCAATATATATAGGATATCTGACTTCTTATATATTTATTCTACTGGGGTAAATAAGCAAGTCATTTAGTTCCCCAGAATCACAACCACACTGGTTCCAGCATAAGCCGCACACTGCCACACTGAACTCCCTGAAATTGCTTACATTAACATTTTTAATGTCCAAAAAATTCCAGCTGTACTGATGAAAAAATCAAAACTCTTATTTTTCATTGCTAATGGTTGCCTGAGTAGAGCTGTACTCAATAAAGGTGCTACACAATGGGGAAAAGTCACAAACTGTTACTGTATCCACAGAGACATTTTAGTATATTTTAAAGGCAATTTGGAAAAGAGTAAATTAAGTACAAGTAATTCTCTAATATCCTTTCCAACGATAACAGTCATGCATAGTATGCATGTCTCAACAAAATACAAGAACAAGAAGTATTAAATATCAATAAAAACTATAAATATTACTTCCCCAACGTCTCCACACTTCCCTCCCTTCAAGACCATCCTGTCGATGGCCCTGCCTTTTCCATAACTAACGCACTCATTGCAGTCTACGTCCACCACACCTGGGTAGTGAGTCTTCTTCATACATGGATAATAGAGAACCACGTGCAAAGGGAACCATGGTTAAACTCCTAAGTAAGTGCTTGATCACTACATATTTGTACAAATTGCTATCTTTTCAAGGTCAAGCACCAACTTAGAATTTGAAAGGGAATATTTGCATGGCTAGGCGAGTTCAGCCAATATTGTAATCAGAGTTACTGTTTTTCTTGGATATTTGATTGTAGTGTCTTTGTCATAAAAATTATCCTTCAACATCAACAACTTACTTTACAAGTTTTGATTTACAATGATAGCTTTGTAACGCTGTATTTATATCTTCTAAACTCACCAATTATTGTCAAAGCTTGGCAAAGATTACAATTAACTAATGGTGTACAAAATGCGCACTATCACAAATTAACTCTCCACTAATACTGGCACACTCAAGGCACCTTAGACATCCTTGCCGTCTCGGGGTTTTGTGAGGTTGTAAGTAAACTGTCAACTTCCCGATAGTGCAAACACATGACATAACTCTGGGAATTTGTAGAAAGTCTACGATGAACCCGCTGACAAGCTCACAAGATGAGGACTGCACAGTGTGACTTGCTGTTTTTTTTTGTTTTTTATTTTTTTTATTTTGTCTTGTTCTGTTTTACGTGAAGCTCTGGGGTGTCTCGGTTCTGTTTTATCGCAAAGACTTAAAGCGTGTGATATAATCTGAGGAATCAGTTCATTTGCCTATCTTAAAATTTGGAAAGCCTATGAAGATGACTTTGGTGGAAGACAACTATAATCTGCTTATTTAATGATGATTAAAAAAATAAATTAAAAAAGAATAGAATGAAAAACCAATATACAGTCTAAGTATTCTTAGACAGTCATATGTAAGCCCATTAAAACTGACATCAAATGAATATAAAACACTAAAGATTTTCAAAAATATTTTGTTAGATTTGAAACTTATACTCATTAATGGTCAAAATGAATTTGGTTTTTTCACAAAAATGTAAATAAAGAAAGATCAGAAATCACAAATATGTAAGGCCCCTTGACAGAGAAACTATATGTGAAGGCTAAACAATACTTTATAAAGGGTTAAATATCATCATGCAGTGCTTGGTTTTGATATCTGCAGCAAATGATGATATTTATTTCACTTCATCTTAAAGACGTGTGTTTCATTGCCATTTTCACATTTCTAGGAACACTGATGAGATGCAAATAAAGCCCCGCTGTTAACCCCAATCCCATTTGATGTTCAGACAAATAAATGAATCCAGAGCAACCTCATTCACTAACCTAATTAAAAGTCAAGTAAATAAAGTATTTTTAGTTCATCAAAATACACAGACAAAAAATCTCAATGTCAGGTGTGTGTGTCCTGAACAGTTTACACTGTATTTCATTCTCCCTTCCAAAAGGCTATCGGTAATAATTCTTACAGTAAAACGAACGCTTTCCAAATTTTAAGCTACTGAAATCTACTTGCAGTTGCCTTCCTCATTAGTGATGTAAGCAGTATCTTCGGGCTAATTAGTGGACTACAAAGTTTACCCTGAGTACATCCATTTTCTTAGAGTAGCATGCTGCCTCATCTCATACACCGCAATAATGGACTCCAATCTATTCACCTTTTTGTTACCATGCCATATACAGCAAGAATTTCTTGATGGTTTCCTTAATGCATATTAGTTACTCGAAGATTTGATACTGTAGGTGATCTCTCATTTGACTTAATCACCCGTGATGCTGGATTTGACTTGGCTCAAAAGCTTCAACACTCCTTACTATATACCATAATAATATATCATTCAACTCGCTAATATAATCGACTTTATATTCAATCATCATATTTGAATAGCTACCATATAACCTATCAATTTGAAGTATGGAATATGCACTGTATTCTTTCTTCTGTAACATGATTCAAGTAGTCTAATAAACCAAGAACATGATAGTATAGTAATAAATACCATGAAATTTGGAAATAATAACAATGCATGCTCAGTGAAATAACACTGATTTTCAGAATAACATAAATGTATTACTTAACCAATAAAAGCTGTCAAAGAACCTGATTAGTCAGACAAAATCAGTACATAAAAACATAAGGTGTTTTCTAAGGCTTAAGAAAAGAAGGAAGGAATCATCAAAATGCAGATATACATAAATATCATAATGAACAACACTGGATTCAAAATATAAATCGCACTTATGGTTGTGTCATGATTACTATAACTCTTGGCTTATAGACAACTCTGCGGCCCATGTCACCTGATCCTCCGCCTGCGTCTTGCTCTCGTAGGTCCCGTGGTGTGAGGAGAAAGAGACTGCACGGCCTGGGGGGGTAGGAGCTGCTGTCCGTC